TTTTTTTTTTTTCTTTCTCCTTTCCCTGTCAGTGGCTTGCAGCTCCATATTTGCCATTAAGAACAAAGGCAAGTAGCCACTTTCTTTTTCTTTTTCCTTGTCTGGGGCTCATGAGTGGGTGGAATTTGGGGTTCATCTCCCCTACTAAGTCCTACTCTTTTCAGGGGCTTTGCACAGCGTGGTTAGGGCATAGGCCCTCCTTCCCCAGCGTCTTCCTGTGACTCTCCTGCTGAGGGGAGTGGGAGTTTGGAGTCACATCCAGGCAGCGATGAGGCAGGTTCCCTCCGTTTGAGGCTTTTGCCCGAACGAATTAAGGCTTTTGAAGAATTCTCTTGGGAGGGAGTGTTGCTTGTCCAAGTGTGGTCACATCCGTGAAAGGAATACCCGAGTTTATGTAACATGGAATTACAACACAGGGATGAATTTCAGGGCTGGCTGTCCCCCCGACCCAAAACTCCGAACGTCTCCAAAAAGGAACCCGAACCCAGACCTCCCCCACACCCTCCTCTAAAGTGGCCACAAGTTCCAGAGTAACAACCCCTTGCACTTGTGCAGTGCTTTCTGGCTTGAAAGAAAGAAAGAAAAGGAAGGAAGGAAGGAAGAAAAGAAAAGAAAGAAAAATGAAATGAAATGAAATGAAATGAAATGCTAACAAGCTAACGTTGTCTGAGCAATGACTGAGGAGGGCCGGGCACCAGCAAGGGGCTTTAGAAGCGCTTTCTCTTCCTTCTCTTTCAGGCGTCACAACAACCCTTCAAGGCAGGTGGGGTTTTCCAAGTGAGGGCAGGGGGGCCCCGACGGGCCCAGCGTCGCCCAGCCGGGATAGACTCGGCTTCCCTGCCGGCCACTCAGTGTCCGGGGGGCTCCTCTTCATCACAGGCTGCTTCTGGGACAACGGCCACCTGTACCGGGCGGACCAGCCCTCCCCAGCGCCGGGCCTCCGATGCCTCAACTGGCTGGAGGCGCAGAGCGGCCTGGCGTCTGCCCCTGCGTCGGGTGGTGAGTGTCCGCCCCGGGCGGCGGGCGGGCGGCGACCGCGGTCTGGGTCCTGGCCCCGTCCCATGGCGCCTTCTCTCCCTTCCCAGACACCGGCAACCACAGCTATTGCCGGAACCCGGACCAGGACCCGCGCGGGCCCTGGTGCTACGTCAGGGGCGAGGCCGGCGCTCCCGAGAAGTGGCCTTGCGAGGACCTGCACTGCCCAGGTACCCGCCCAGACCCCGAAGCCCTCAGGACCCCAGAGCCCCCAGCACTTTGGGCAGCCTGGGAGCGGCCCTTACACCCGCTGCGCACGTGCGTCCGCGCGTCGCCGGTCGGCCCCGCCCCGCCCCCGCGCCACCCGATTGGCCAGGGCTGTCTCCAGGCCGCAGAGCTCAAAGCCCATTGGCCGCCGCCGCCTCTCTGAGTGAGCTCATCCTCCGCGAGCGCCTTGTAAACAACCGTGGGAGGCGAGGCCCCACCCCTTGGCCGCGAGCTCCATGCTTGGTGCGCAGCCTCGGGGAGCCCGCGGGACAGTAGTCCGGGTCTCAACGCCCTTAGGTAGCCCCTCCCTCAGCGTTTAGTGATCGTTTGGGGGAGCGTATGCTGTGTGTTAAGGTACTCTATTCACAGTCCCTCCTGGAAGGAAGCTGGTTGTGGGATCTGAGCCTCAGAGAAGTTTAGCGACGTATTCAAAGCAATGGCAAGGTCCAGATTTGACTCTGTTTCTCAGACTCCGGAACGAAGGCTTGTTGCTCCCGAGGCAGCAAGACCATTCCCTAGGGTTAGATTAAATGGAATATGTAAAGCATATAACATAGGGATTGGCAGGCAGTGTGGGCTCAGTAAATGTGAGCTGCTCACAGGGGTCGTGGATTGTTTCCTAGCGCAGAGGGGGACCCCCCTGGAGAAGATAGCAACTGAGCTGGGCCTTGGAAGATGGCAAGGATTCGAACAGATGAAGACGTGGGAGGCAGGAGAGGCTCTTTCTTATGTCCTTCCTCTCACATTTGCCTTGTCCCAACTGTAGTGTGACCCCATCAGACCTGGTCTTGCTCCTGGGGCAAGGATTGATTTCAGTATGTACAGACATTCTAAGGTGGACCCTCTCCCCCAACAGTTTCAGCTGTGGAGTTCACTCAGGCTACGCTAATGAGAGATATTTTACACTTCACCTCCAGAGACCACTTCCCAGTCCCCTCCAACCTTCACAACAGAAACTGAGGAGGCGTCTGAAGTGCCAAGTGGAGATGAGGTGCAGGTGTTCGCTCCTGCCAACGCCCTGCCTGCCCGGAGTGAGGCAGCAGCTGTGCAGCCAGTGATTGGGATCAGCCAGCGGGTGCGGGTGAACTCCAAGGAGAAAAAAGACCTGGGAACCCTGGGTACGATTGCCTCACCCATCCTTATGCGAATCATCAAGAAATATTTGCCGATGGGCTGGGGTGAGGCTAATGGGACCTTGTGTCCTGTCCTTGGCAGGCTATGTGCTGGGCATTACCATGATGGTGATCATCATCGCCATTGGAGCTGGCATCGTCTTGGGCTACACCTACAAGAGGTCAGTAGCTTCTCTTCTGGGCCCTCTGAAAGGACGGGAGGAAGGTACATAAAGTTGAATCAGACTTTTTTGTAGCATACATACCCAAAAAGGAAGTGAAGTATTAAAAGAGGAAAACAAGCTTAAGATGTACAGACTTGGTTCTAGTCTTTACCAGGTGGCCTTAGAAAACCCCTTTCCTTTAGTGTCTTTACTCCTCACCCAAAAGCATTGTGAGGTAGGAGTTCTTGTTCCTCATTTTACAGATGAGGAAGCTTTCATCAGAGAGGTGAAGTGACTTGCCCAAGGTCACACTCCCTGGGAGTGGCAGAACCTAGATTCAAACCCAGCTCTTTTGATACCAAATTCTCCACTGTCTAATCCAATATGCCTGGTATGGAAGCGAGTGGCACTGCAGAAATCAGTCTGGACACTCACTGCAGGGTCCCAGAGATTGAATTATTTCTGTGAGTTATAAAATTCTACTAGAAAAGGTTCCCAGCTACTCCTTTCACAGTTTGGGCTTGAATTTCCTGGGCCATAAGCAGGGATCTCCTATTTAGGACAGGAGGAAAAAAATGAGCTGGAGGATATAGAACCTGCTACTCATCACTACATATGAGAAAGCCAAAGAGGCTTCTCCTGGGAAACTCAGGGACCTGACCTGTGGCTGGGACAACAGGAGGAGGAATGCTCATTTTGAGAGGGCCCCTGAAATATCATGTGGAAAAGGCTCTCAAAGTCAGTGGTGGGTGCACGATAAGCCAGAGTTGCATTCATTTTTACAGTGCTGGCTTGTTCTGGGAAAATTATTTGCCGTTCTGGGCAAAATCAGGGGATTTGATTTCTAGCCCCGAGTGCTTTGATATGTCTCTTCTGAGGTCTGAGAAGGCTTCCTAAAAGGGATGTGACATGGTGGCCTGCATTTTCCAGTGGTAAGGGCTGTGAGTTCACAGCCCCAATGGATCACCCAGCATTAAATAAACCTGGGGTGTCCTTAGAGACAGTGTAGTCAACCTCCTCATTTTACAGATGAAAGGGGTGAAATAGTGGGTAAGAATAACAACAACAGGGGCGCCTGGGTGGCGCAGTCGGTTAGGTGTCCGACTTCAGCCAGGTCACGATCTCGCGGTCCGTGAGTTCGAGCCCCGCGTCAGGCTCTGGGCTGATGGCTCAGAGCCTGGAGCCTGTTTCCGATTCTGTGTCTCCCTCTCTCTCTGCCCCTCCCCCGTTCATGCTCTGTCTCTCTCTGTCCCAAAAATAAATAAACGTTGGAAAAAACAACAACAACAACAACAACAACAAGAAAGTGAACACTAACCATATGCCAGACCCTGCTTCAAGCAATTTGCATGCTTTAATTCAGTTCACACAATCACCCTTATGGTATTATGGTTACCATAATTTAATTTAATTTAATTTTTTATGGTTACCTCACACTTTATCTTATGAGGTAAATGCTGTTATTTACACGTTAGGAAACCAGTTTACATGTTAGGAAACAGAGGCAAGAGACGATACGTACCTTGCCTGAGGTCACACACCTAGCATTTGGTGGAGCCAAGTCTTAGTCCTGTCACTAGCTGTGTGACTTTGGGCAAGTTGCTTCTATTTCCTACTGCAGAGCACTGCTGTAGCTAAGGCATGTGATTGCTTAGCTCAGTGTGTAGCAGATACTAAGTGGTCAGTAAATAATAGTTTTTTTCTTTTCTGTAAAATGTGAGTACTGTACTAGCACTCTCTGAGCGCGTGTTTCTTCTCTGATTTTCTATGATTCAGGGAGCAGAGGTTCAAATAGAATAAGAATTGACCTAAGAGGGTCTCTTGACTTCCATTCCAAGGCTGTTTCCCTCAGTGGGATGGTTAACATGGCAGGTCCAGGGACACCTGTTTGTTCATTCAGAGAGTTAGAGGAAATGATGTGGTAGCCTTGGCCTACAAGTCATAATCAGACCTAAACCTGTTGGCTGAGTTTAGCCTTTGAAATATTTCCTCTTAACTCAGCCACTGGATAGAGTATGGCTTTACTCCAATCTTGTGACGGTTTCCAGGCCTCCAGGTATTTGAACTGACTTAAATGTTCTTAATTCTGAGCTCAATTCTCATGTGCAATGAGGAAGCCAGGCCTTTTTTTCTTCTAAATTTGCTTCTTTAGGCTGTTATAGGACTGCCCTGAAGCCTAGCATTTACTATCCTGTAAACTCAGGGCAAGGCACCAAGTCACCAGACTCCCTGTCACTAACTACTGGTCCACCCCTTTCCTCAGCAAAAGTGCTCTGAGAACAGACTATAACAGGAAACCGCATGTGGTCTAGAGGCAAGCTCTCAGCTCCCATCTCTCTCCAAAGTCAGAGAACAGAGTGTCCTGGAAAGAACTGTTGTGTATAGGTTCGGTCATTCCTCTGCACCTCCGTTTCTTGACTATTGAATAGGGATATATGCCCCCTCCATGCACCCATACCTACCCACCCAAGATTATCATAAGTATTAAATATAAGCAGTAGGACACCAATCATGTTAGATAATCATAATAGCAGCCAACATTTATTGCATGCTTTTTATTTTTATTTATATGTTTACTTATTTTTGAGAGAGAGAGACAGAGTGCGAGTGGGGGAGGGGCAGAGAGAGAGGGAGACACAGAATCCAAAGCAGGCTCCAGGCTCTGAGCTGTCAGCCCAGAGCCTGAAATGGGGCTTGAACCCATGAACCGTGAGATCATGACCTGAGCTGAAGTTGGACGCTTAACTGACTGAGCCATCCAGGCGCCTCTGTTGCATGCTTTTTAAATAAATAGGGCCCTACTGAATGCTCTTCCCTGATCATCTGGCCCAAGTCTCATGACCACACTAGAAGGATCACTTTTTATACTGTTTTACAGTGAGCTGCTGAGGCCTAGAAGAGTTAAGTGCCACATCCAGGCTACACAGCCAGTAAGATGTGTGCAAGGATTAACAATATCTCCCAAAAGCTCAGCGAGGTTCAGCAGTGTCCTGCAAATTTGAATTGCAAAGGATATTAGGAAAAATGGAAACTTTCAAAATAAAATAGCTGGACTTATAAGTCAAAAGAACCAGGATCTAGTTCTGCAACTGCCATCAATTCTGGGTGCAACACTGGACAAGTAATTTACGTTCCTCATCTGTAAAAAGTGCAAAGGTAGGAGGTTGGATATGATGATCCTCTCAGCTCTAATATTTCCTAAAAAGGCAATATTACCTGTTGGTGGCTGCAGACAGTACTGAGTTCAAATCCTAGTTCTGCTGTTTGCTTAAATAAATGATTTCACCTTTCTGCATCTGCCTTCCCATCTCTAATCCTAATAGATACCATACAGGTTTGTTGTGAGGATGAAATTAGACAGTATAGTTGGACATAGGTTTTGTGTTCATAGCCTTAGCTGCCTTGAGGAACTTTTCCTGAGTAGCAGTGTGGTACAGCACTGCTTTCAACTGGGCAAACAGTGAAAAGAATAATTGGAAGAAACTGTGTTGCCTGAAGGAAGTCTGGGGTGTCTCTGTCACTCCAAAGAGGATGTCAGATGTGGGCAGCAGCTCCATCCACGCTTGCTGTCTCTGGCCCTGGGGCAGTCGTGGATAGAATTACTGCAACCCCTGAACTCTGCCAAAGACCATGAGGCTAATGGGATGGAGATTTCCCCTGGCTGGGAAGGGCAAGCAGGAACCAGGCTTCCTCTCAGGGGAATAAGGATGGCAGGTGGGTGTGGGTGAGGGCTCAGCCTGTCGGGTCTTTGTCACGGTTGTCTAGGCTACAAGACTCAGCCAGCCAGTCTGCAGCTCCCTCTCCCTGCCCTAAGTGCAGTGTCTGTGCTATCCAGAGGGAGCATTTATTTTCTGATAAAAAGGCAAGGGAAAAACTGTAAGTCAACACCACTCCACCCCCTTAGGAGGAGCTGAGTCAGTGAATAAACCTTTTGTTCTATCTTGGCTGCCAGACAACAGCCTGCCCCCTATCCCCACCGCC